GATCAGCTCATGGTTGCCATCTCCCAGCTTCACTTAGATCATTACATTGCTGATTAAGTCATCTCCCTTTGCCAGTACTAGGACAAAGCAGCATTTTGCCTCTCGTCAGTCCATAGACCTCTTGAGTCAGATAGAGCTCATTCACGCACATGAGGAAGCTTTGCGACCATTCAGATGTGGCCAAGTGCTCTTCCCATGAGATGTCAGGATAGTTGAAATCTCCCATGATAACCATGCACTGGGAGCATGCAGCCTCAGCTAGTTCCCTGGAAAATTCCTGGTCAAGTACTTGATCCTGGCTAGGAGGTCTGTAGTAGATTCCCACCATTGTGTGCTCTGTGCCTTGTTCACCATGGATTTTGACCCCCCCCCCCCCCCCTCCCTAGGTGCCAATATCAGCTTGCAGGGACACATATCTTTCTTTGACATAGAAAACTACCTCCCCTGCCCCTTTTGTCCACATGATCTCTCTTGTACAAGGCATAGCCATTTATGCCTATAGCCCAGTCACAGGTGGAGTCCCACCAGGTCTCAGTTATCCCTATGAGATTGTAATCCTTTTTGTTTAGCAGGAGGACCAGTTCCTCCTGTTTGTTCCCCAAGCTCCTGGCACTGGTGTACAGGCACATAAGTGTCTCATTGGAGGCCCTTTCCTTCCCTACAGATTGCTCTGGGGCTGGGTTCCCTTGAGTGCCTAAGCCTGCTAGGTTTACAAAAGCTTCCCAGTTGTCCCAGCCACCAGTGGGAGGGTTCAGGATTGAGAGAGTGGTCGGAAATAAAAGGTAAGAAAGGTTTATTTATCTAACAAACACACAACTACACGTAGTATAACAAGACAACAATGACAAACAATAAAATTCCAAGTCAGCAACTTCTCAGCAGTCCCTTTTGATGCCTGGTATTCGACGAGCCTCTCAAAATTCAGCAAAGTCAGGCATCCCCAATCTGCACTGTCCAAGGGAGTATCGGGAAGGACCCTGGTATTCAGTCTTTGGACTCCTCAAGATCCACTGGCCCACTGAATCCATGTCAGCAGCTCCTCCTTACAGTGATAGCTTCTTCTACTATGCTGCGTGTCCCTTCTGTTGATTCCCGGATGTGCTAGTAAATTTATACCCCTTGAGCTATGCTGTTGGCTCACAGCCACTCTCAATCTTTATACTGCAAACTTTCCTTATATGACCAACCAATAGCAGTACAAGCCTTCGTGTTTTCCTTATACGATTAATTTCAGCTGCACCATCACTCACAAGGCCTCAAAACAGTTTCCTTTAAACTTTAACTAAACTTCTTAGCTGTAACACATTTTGCGATACATAGATAAGCAACAGGAAACACCTGGTTCAACCGTCACAGGGCACTCAGCAAGTGTTTTCTCCAAGCAGACAACTTCTCACTGCCACACCCAGTGGGCTTGCAGTGGAGGTGCTCCCCCCCCCCCATCCCCCAGCAGGCTCAGTTTAAAGCCTGGTCAAGCAGGTCAGCAGATTGTCACCTCAGTCCCCCTCTGGAGGGAGTCTCCCATGATGACCACTCTGCATTTTGTCTTCGGGAGAGTAAGGATGGGTGATCATCCCTTGCCTGCAGGAGCTGGCATCTCTGCAGGCTCAACTGGGGCTGCAAGAGGTTTATACCTGTTGCAAAGCCGCAGAGGGACTTGTCCTACTCTAGCTGGGAACTTTGGGAAGCAGCTGTGCAGACTGCCAAGCTCAGCCAGGGACAGCAACAATGGAGTGCAGCTTTCTCCTGGATTGGTTGAAATATCCTCATCCATGGATTTATATCAGTATAAATGTCTCATTTGTCCACACCCTTAGTGCTTAAATTAAATCTGAAAATGGAACTCATTGTCTAATTGCAATTTGAAACTTATTTTTTTGGTAAAAAAAATAATAATAAAAAAAATAAATAAATAAAAATCAAGGTTCTCACACACACCTCTCTCAGGGGAAAGGAAAGAAAACTCACTCTCTCAGGCCTTCTTTATCAATTATGGGGGGGGGGGGGGGGAGGGGGAAAAAAAGCAGCAGAATCACTGCCTGCCCTATCCCTTGCTTTTGCAGGCCATTTCTAATATTTTTATCAGAATTTAAGCTCTGTTAGTACTAAGTTATGAAGTTAATCTTCACATTATTCAAATACCCCTGGAAAGTAAAGTACAAACACAATGATGTTAAAATACCTATTCTGAACCCGCACAATGGAAGGGCAAGTAAGTGTAAGGTTATGTAGTGTTATTACTTAAAGTTGCTTCTTATTATACAAGAACAGCAGGACTTCTCATATGCACCCAAAATGAACAGACAATTAGTCATTGATAATACCCGTCAATCAATCCCTGATCATTACTGACAATCAGTGAATGGGAATCACAAATAGTCTTTCACTGACAGTAAATAGCAATCACAGATAATCACTGGTCCTGATTTAATGACACTCTCTGGCAATCAATGTAAAAATACTGGCATTATATCATGGAAACACATGTGTGATCATTTGTGGATCAATGGCAAACAATTACTGACACACTGTGACAGTCAGTCACTGACCAATCATCATTGATTGTCACTAGGAATCAATCACAAGCGGTTATTCACTGATAATTACTCATATCAATTGGCAATATTTCACTATGAGTCACTGGCAATCACTAGTAATCAATCACTAAAGGTCACTTGCTTTACTGCAAGATTTAATTAAGTAAAAAAGCTGGTTGTAGTTTTAACCTGTGAACATCATTCACCACTCAGCTGGGTCCATGTAACTCAGTGGTTCCCAATCTTTTTTTGCCGCAACCCACTGCTGGGAGCAAAGTGCAGCAGCAGTGACAGGAGGGCAGGGGTGAGAGGGCTCCCACCACACAGCACAGCTCATCCGTTCTTTGTGGCACCACAGGCATTGCTCCCACAACCCTCATTTGGGTCACAACCCAAGGTTGGGAACCGCTGATATAGCTGATTCTGAATACATTTGAAGGGGTAGTGGAATACTGAAAGTGGATCTGAGGCAGGGGAGCAACCTTTTTCTTGCATGTTGAGAAAGAAGCTAGGTTTCATCATGCAACTGAATTATAGAACAGCATTCTTTGGCTGATCACTGGGCTTTTCATTGCTTATAAATTCTCAGGTATATCACCAGTGAGGAGTGCAGAGGAAAAAACACAGGCAAAAATCTTGATAATAACTGATATCCGTAAGATCATACCAAACATTAATAGGAGTTCCATGTGGACATTGGAGAAGCTTATGAAGGGAGAGCCAAAAGGCATTAGTATGTACTGGCAGAATGACAACCATAAATATTGAAAGGAATTGTTGAACTAGAGCAGAACTTTAGCCCTCTGGTTCATTGTAATTCTGATTCTTTTGAGTATCCCACTCAACACCTAACTTTTGCATGGCTGGGCTTCAGGCTCTCACCTAAATATTCTTGCAGTACTCTTCACTCCTCCTGCTCATGAGAATCTGTCAATGTCCAGCTATATTAGGTCACACTTGATATATATGGATCAAGTCAGACCCAGTCCTCTTTTGTATGTGTTACCACTAGCTCTACTTGGTTAGATTTATACCTGCTCCTGTTTACATTTATCTCATCACTACTGCCTCCTGCTCAATATTAAGCAGAACTGCACATGTATATATGCATGTGTCTACCAAGACACTGCCCTTTGCTGAACAGAAATGTTATTTATTTGTTTAAGTTTAATGCAAACATAAATACCTATATACAAGGTTTACACATGCTGACAGCAATTACATTCACCTCCCTACAGTACCATCACCCTGCAGTGCGACAATTTAAATCAACATAAGCACCAGTAAATGTAGCAGCCAAATGCCCCCATTGTACTCAATCCAAAGTCCCACACCCTCAGACCTCTTCAGAAGCCTGTCAAATAGATCACTTTTGTAACATGCTGTAGAAATCTATATCCAAGTAGGAACAGGGGAAGGAAGATGATTCCAGTCTCAAGGGGCCTTCACTGGGAATGCCTGCCCCAGGAAGAGTAACATCTGCTCACTGCTAAGTGAAGCCATAGTTTCTATTCATGGGTGTAACAGCGGGGTCCTGCAGGAGGGCCGTGAGCTCCTTAAGGGCCCCTCTCCATGTCAAGTTGGCCCAAGGGCGCCCTCTATTTCTCACCCGCCACAACTTCGATGGTCTAAATTGGTTGGGAGGCTGCCTCATGTTTTCTTGGACACGGTCTGATGTACTCTCTAGTCCTGTAGACTCCTGGACCCCTCGTGGGTCTTGTCCTGCCAACGGGTGCTTCGGAGCACCCTAGCCTTATGGGCTATGCATGGCTCCCACCACCCTTGATACCACACCCCAAGCCTCGCAGATGGAATTGACGTTGGATTGTCCCCATCTTTCTTTCTACATACGCTGCCGCCCCCTCCTGGGGCTCTCCTCGACTTCTCGGGGGTCTTCCATGCGCCGTCACCCTCTCTCGGGGCCTTCTCTGCGCTGTCACCCCCTGTCTGGGGCCTTCTCGATAACGCCCCCTTTCTGGGGCTCTCCATGCCCACCCTTGGGCCACTCAAATGCTGCCCCCTTTCTGGGGCTCTCCACGCCCACCCTTGGGCCTCTCAATAAGGCACTCCCCTCTCCGGGGCTCGCCGTGCCTGACTTGGGTTTTCCAATAATGTCACCCCCTTTCTGGGGCTCGCCACGCCCGCACTAGGGCTTCTCAAAAGTGCCCCTCTCTAGGGCTTACTACACCCACACTGGGGCTTCTCCAAAGTGCCCCTCTCTGGGGCTGGGGTCTAAGCACCCCATAAGCTGTGCCCTCACTGGCGCCGGGGTCCTCACACTGCGCTGTGAGTCCCCGATGAGGCCTCCTCCTCCTACCCCTAATAGCCTCACCCAAACCACTGGTGTAATAAACAAAACAAAACACAAGCCCCTAGGCTACAACATAACTATATGCCACCTGGCTATAACCACATTGCTCCAACATCTTAGAGCTGCCTTCTGTTATCTGGTTTAGGCAGTACCTGCGATTCTCACTGCTTCTCATATCATGGCAGAGGGAGCTCCTGCCTCTCTGACTGCTGGTAGAGAACTGCCACAGGCCTCTGCTTCTGGGCTTTGTAGGAGCCAGGCCCTGCCTCCTACAGGCAGCTGACTGCTGGCAGGGGGGGGTCCTTTGCTCCCTCCAGTTTCCCAGCTGACTGCTGGCAGGTGTGGGTCATTTGCTCCCTCCAGTTGCCCGGCAACCCACAGGTGGACTCCTATTCCCTGCTAGGGCTCTTTTCCCCTGCAGTTTCCCCTCTCTAGGAGCAGGGCACCTTAGTGCTCTGCGACAATGGGGATTCCTGCAAAATGTTTTACATGAGAAAGGCTGAGGTGATTTGTCCTTTAATTGCATGTATTGGATAAATTTCATTAGCTCAAAAAAAAAAAAAAACCCTCACGTGGTTCCTATTATAAATGCATAATGCATCCCAGGCTCACTTTAGAGTTAGCTCACAGTTGAGTTGTTCATAAGGTTTATAAACAATGGGAAAACTATAATGGCAAATCAAGGAAATGTGTGTTCCCCATGAATTCATTCATTGGGACAATGTCTTGGCCTACCAGCTCCAAGGCTGAGGACTCAGTGTGCACCTTTCCCAGATTCCTGACTAATGTTTTTTCTTCCAGGTAAAAATCACCAGAATAAGGAATAATGTCTAAAACTGGAATGCATATGTGCAGAGAGAAGGGAGAGAGCAATATAAAAAAATGTGTAGAAGGGTAGAGAAACTTGAACTCAGCTTCACTGCAGGTTGTAATAAAAGAGTAGATATCTGGAGCCCAGAAAAGCCGAGATGTCATCACCAACACAACATGCTTGGTTGGCACAAGATAGTTCACACTTGTGGCAGAAGGGTTTACTTCTGGAGGCCCCAAAGGTGAGCCTCTAAGACTCCTACTAGCAATCATGTTAAGACACAACTGGAAAGCAATGGCCCCTCTCAAATGCTCAGAATCTCATTTAATTGTATTGCTGAGAACGGGGTTAGCAATGTTAGCCTTCAGACTATTCAAAAGTTAGCCTGAAGTCAAAGTGGCCTGGAGTCAAAGGGGCTCGATGATTTCCTGTTAAGTTTTGATAGCATTAACTGAACCCATTTTGTCAACTACCCAGAGAACAGTTTTGTCATCATAAAACCCTAAAGTAGATAAGTGATGCCTATGGCAGTTTTGAATAATTTTGTATGTTAAGGTCCAAGTCACTGCAAATTCTTTGTTAGAATTCCAGGCGTTTTGGGGTCTTGGACACACAGTTATGAGAGGTAATGGCCCTAATACACTTCTGTATGCTGAATACTTAAAAATGGCAATCCATCCATCTCAACAATGACTGAAATGGAAGTTCAACATCTGGGCATAGTGTGATATGGCAGCAGAGACGGAAGAAAAATAAGCTGAATCCCAGCAGTCAGAATACCAGCTTTCATCTTTTTCTTTTTTTCCCCAACAGTGTGCAGTTAGCTCTTCTGTAAGGACTTTACCTTGAATATCTTTGACTAATTAAGCCATTTCAGCCTTGTGTTCTCTTTCTACTGCAAATGGAATCTGGCAAGGCAGACATGATTTGTAGTTTCTGACTGACTTGGGTGTGTATGTTATGGGGGTGGGAAATGTAATAAACCCTTTATTTGTTCCAAGTAAAACTTACATGCCTTCTGTTATTTATTGCTAAATACTAAATTGTTCTAGCATAAGTTAAGATGTAAACACACACTACAAGGTTTTTTTAAGCCTCTTTAAAAGGTTGGCTCAATTAGTATGTGATGTAGAATCAAGTAATTAACTGTTTCTTGTTTTTCTCCAGACCAAAATGTATTCAAAAGCCTCAGTTTTAAAGCAAGGGAAAATAAAGATTGAATATCAAGAAAAAACTTGGAAAAAAAATTGAATATCAAGACTGTGAAAGCTTCCGGTTGTAAAATAGTCTCTCAAGGGAAGAGATGTCAGCCCAGCCACTAAAAGTATTTAAATCTGGACTAGATGATGCATTGGATGATATATAATAAGAACCAATTTTGTAATTTTTTCCTACTCTAATTCCTGTAATTCTCCATGCACTATATAGTCTATTCCTGGGATTGTATATCAATAATACTGCGCAACTAAGAAAAGAATATTCTGCAAAGGTTTTTCCTTCTTCATATATCTGGCAAGCCCAAGTCTATCATAAGATTTATATGAGGTGTTTTACTGAGACAACTGTTACTCACTTGCAAGAACTGAGCTCACTGATCTAACAGGTCCTTATTAGGGCTGTGCAAAATGGGCCCTATTCAATTTGGATTTGGCCCGAACTGGGAACAGTGATTTGATTCATTAATTCAGATCACTGTCCCAGATTTGATTTGGCCAAATCCGGATCTGAAGATTCAATGCCGATTCACAGAATCAGCCGTTTGGACATAGACACAGCTTTAAAAGTTGTTTCTACATACAATTGAGGTACCAGGTGTAGCTCGTAAATGCTGTGATGCTGGGGCAGATGGAGCATCCCACAGGAGTGCGAGGGCGGGGAGGGGCGGCATGTGCTCAACAGTGAGCCCAGAAGCAGACTAGAAGTACTTTGGGTCTGTTGCCAAGCATGCTGGGGAGCCCCCCACAGTCCTGTGGGACACTCCATGTGCCCCAGCATCATAGCATTCATGAGCCACCTGTTACCTAGAGTTACATAGAAAAAAAAAACATTTAAAGCTATCTCCATGTCCAAATCACCGAATCTTTGATTTGATTCAGAGAGATTAAAAAGGGTCCTCTGATTCAATTTGGATTTGGCCACAAAAATCAGGCTGTGAGTGTTGATCTAGGACTGTTGATCTGGTTTGTTTGTTTGTTTTTCAGCCTCTTTCACAATGTGAGCTATAGTTCAGTAGCAAGCATTCAGCTCTTTTGAGATGCATTTTATAATCCTTTGCCAGAGTGACAGTGCTTCATAGCCCAGACGAGGAATCAGTACACTGTTTTACAGGTTGCTTTTAGCATCTTAAAAAGGACCACTTTCAAACAGCTGGGCAAATCTCTCTAAAAGATCAGAGACAGTGGTCTCTGGGAGAAATGACTAAATGTCAACTAAATGATTCCCTTGAAGAGTCAACTAACAAAGAAAAACAGCCACTAAAAAGATAGGCTGCACTGATCTTGCCTCCAGTCCCTCAAGACAGTCATCTGTAAGTTAATATGGCAGGCTGTTCTGCAATCTATCTTTGTTTCAGTAACTGTTTCTGGAAGTCCAAAGTTACTAAGAAAAACAAAACAAAACAAAACACTAAAAGGTTCTTCTGCATTAGAAGATTCTTCTCTGGAAGTGGTTAATGGCGAGCCCCTAACATACATTTCCCTTCATTTTCTGTCCTGTGAATATTACCTATTAATAATTCAGCAGTCTCTTGCTACTGTTCACAATCCAGGTAGAATTTTGTCTGAGGGGCCAATATACAATATTAATTGCCTAACCTGTCATTTTTCATTTAATGCTCCAAAAAGTATACATACATGTATTTTTAAATGTGTACTATATACTGCAGTTGAACACAGTCTGACACAAAATTTTGAACAAATTTGCATAACAGTGCCAGAGACATGAAACTAAACCAAGATCAGGCATGGAGTATGACTAACACAGCACTATTAATGGATTTCTATTTACTTAAACTTACATTCCACAAGAGGATCCAGTGTCTTCACTTCCACAGAGTTAAAGTAGCAATAGCATGTGCAGAAAATTAGGCATCTTTGAAGTTTGGAAGAGAAATAACAGGTTGCCTCAAAATCCCAACCCTTAAATCACTCTAGCCATCAGTGGCTAATGCCAGAACTCTCACCCCATGTTTCTACAGCTCCTTGCTGCTCAGTGACATACCAGCAGTCTGCTTGGAGGCCTGAATGTTTCAATTTTTTTCAATGTAATACCTGCAACCCTATCTGCAAAGCAGTATGAGTCACAACAAACACATCTGGGCTACCATGGTCTATTCCTTCAGATAGCTCAGAAGGAAGTGGAACAAAAAAAAGGGGAGCAAAGAGGTATTGTTTTAAATAAAGTTGGATAGGTACATCCTGACATCTGGTGGCAGCACAATATGGGATGAATAGTAGGGCTGTGCAAAGCTTCGGCCCCCAATTCAATTCGGTGGAGATTCAGCCTGATTCAGTGGCTGAATCTCCAAAGCCAAATTGAACCGCAAGACCCTTTAATCTTTCCAAATCAAATCAGAACCCCTCAAATAGATTGAGAGAGAGATTCAGAAAGATTTGGAGATTTGAACATAGACACAGCTTTAAATGTTTTTTCTACATACCTCAAGGTAGCAGGTGGCTTGTGAATGCTGTGATGCTGGGGTGGATGGACTGTCCCACAGGAGCACGGGGGGAGGTGCGGGGGGGGACGGACTCCCCAGTGCGCTCCCTGGCAGACCTGGAAGTGAACCAGAAGCACTTCTGGGTCCACAGGGGAGCATGCAGGGGGGCCCCCCCATGCCGGTTCAGCGACTAGTGCCTCCTGGGTCTGGGGGGGCACCCAGGGTTCCCCTGAAGCCGATTGCTATGCCAGGGAGGATGCGGGCAGGCCCCCAGGAAGTACTTCCGGTCCACTTCCAGGTTCACCACCAAGCACGTGGCCCCCCCGCTTGTTCCTGTGGGACATTCCATGCGCCCCAGCATCGCAGCGTTTGTGAGCCGCACCTGGTACCTTGTGGTGTGTAGAAAAAAACATTTAAAGCTGTGTCTATGGCAGAATTGCTGATTCTCTGAAGCAGCATTGAATCTTCAGATTTGGCTGAATTGAATTGGGGACAGTAATCCGAATCAATGAACTGAATCACTGTCCCAAATCTGAATCCAAATGGAATACAGCCCACTGTGCACACCCCTAGCAGGCAACATCCCACCACCATGTCCCCAGCCCAGCTCCTTCTGAGCAGTGGTTGGAGGTTGGGGGTGGGCTGGGCAGCACTCTTCCGGTCTGAGGCAGTGATTGGCCAAGGAGGTGCAGGGCAGTGGGAGAGTGCTACTGTGAGTATGGGCTGCTCACACA